GGCCTCCAGCCGCCCTAATAAATATCGTTGGCCTCCAACCTAATAGCAATGGCCTCCAACCTAATAGCAGTGGCCTCCAGCCTAGTAGCGATGGCTTCCAATATATTAATCTACATGGATCTATAGACATAGACCCATCCTGAGTAGATATCCTTCACCTTTTTGTTGGATATTTCATTCAACTCTCCAGGCCATTCTGAGCCATTCGACGGAGGGTTGTGTTCATCAACAGTTACTACTTGACCAGCATATGCTCATATATGCTCCTGACATGCTCCTGACCAATTTTGGAGATCAAAGGCAATGATTGATGGACAAGCCTGATGGTCTTTCGCTAAAGGTTTCATGAAAGACAGGAAAAAAAAATGGTGCCCGAGCAAACATCCCGATCTCAGGTCACTCGAACATCCTGACCACGACCATCCAATCCTGGCCAGAACCAAACCAATTGAAGTCCATTCTATACTCAGTTAACACCATGTGCACCAAACGCCGATACGCACGGAAGATCACACATCGTGGTTCACTCAACACCTGTCCGTCACGGATGAGTGATTTCTGAAGCATGACAAGTCAAGATCCTATTCCGTTCATATGAAAGAAACCTGCTAATGGAAGGTTATTGTCCTTCCTCTTTGTTTTCTGATGTATTCTGTATAGACTAGACATATTATATATACATTATACATCATATATTATATATACATCATATACTGTGATATGTATATCATATTATAATGCCATTTTTCCCACCACAAATCACGGAGATCTTTCCAGACAACATCACTCTCCAAGGCCTCAAGGCTTTGGCCAATGCTGAGCGCGCGGCCAAGGCGAAGCTGGAAGCGGCGGAAGCGATGCTTTGCTGCACATGTGAGGCACATGAAGACACGTCTTCCCACCGGAGTCGGTCCGAGTAAACCTGTAACAGTCGGCAAACAAGCAAATCATCAGAGAAAGGCCTGGTTTGGTGGATTTTGAGACTGGTGAAACCACTCGTTGGCACCCAATACCTGAGACTGAACAGAAACACCGGGGTTCGACCCAGATGGGGGGCTCGTTGGTAAGTGAAATGGGATTCTCAGGGGCCGAAAGACAGGTTAGATTGAGACATGCTTGCAGTTTCCAATGGGGCCGAAAGACAGGGAAGTCGAGGTTTCGAGAAAAAACTCGTTTCATCATTGGGACGAACTCGTTTCGGGCGTGTGGGGCTTCACACCGAACACCGTGCCGTTCGTCGTACCGTCGTTCTGCCATCGACTTGGGAGACGATTCCGACACGGCAAGAGAGGGAAGGAGACTCCCTGGCCCAAGGCATTTTGGTCTATTTCCCTTCTTCCAGGAGGTCGTTGCCTGGGAGGTCCCCCTATTCTAAGCACCACGCCCTACTTTGCATCTCAAAAACCAAAGCTGTACAGAGGATACAGAGGGATGGGATAGTTCTGCAGCACCATTCCTGATTCTCTTGGACACCAAACGATTCGTCAAAAGACAATGCAAGGTCAAGGGCAAAACCTTGGGTCTTCACTAACAAACCACAACTATCACCGCACGTTGTGCGGCGATGAGTGGTTGTAAGGAATTGCATGCATTTACCAAAGAATGGTGGGACTAGTACGCTTGCCGAGATCCACAGTTGAAGGTATTTGGTTTCCGGTTGGGGACATCTCCTCGCTGAGTATACATATATGGAGCACCATCTTAGCAAATCCAAATTTATTGCGTTCATTCACATGGCAAGCCGCGTCTGCAAGCTACGCAGTTGCAAGGAAGACAGATTCGACCAAGCGTTCAAAACCATCGGGGAGAGGCAACTTGGCTGATTTGTTGGCCCTGCTGCTGCTGCTGCTGCTGATACCAGTTGGGGTAAGTTCAAATGTGGTGTATAGTCATCATAGAGTCATCATGTTGGAAAATTGTTTCATGTTAAGTATTAAGCTAAAATGACTGAACCTTCCAAACCACCCTGAGAGGACCCAGACAAGGCGTGTTTTTCTGTAGACGAACCATGCTCGTTTGGAGACACCATGCTCGTTTGTTGGGTATTTCGACAAGACCGTTTTGGAGGAGAAAGCACAGCAAGCATAGCACGATCCTGGATCGGAGATGCTTCGACCGGTACCGCTCGTCATAGCAACGAGATGGTTTGGAGATGGTTTGGGCCAAGGTTTCCACCAACGGAAATAATGTTTCCAATTATTATGGCATTGCCACCTAGGTGCTCGGATCATTTCTTTTCTCCCCCTCAAAGAAATTCTAAGGAAGCTTCATGCCAGAAAAGCAGTCACTAAGCATTGCCCAGTTGAACTCCACCTTCCAACCCTTTTTTTGGGAATAGGATCGAGCTAGATATGAAGCGATGAGAAACACCTGTCTCCCACGGGCTGCCCACGGGCTGCCGTTCGACCCGTGGGCTTCGGAAGAACCCGTGGGCTTCGTTGGCACCACCGGGTCTTGATCCTCTTGAACTAAACCCAGACACTCCAGATATGCCATATATGCCTATATTGACCCGCCAAACCACCCCAATTGATCGGCATATATGGCAGCCCCATGGAGTGTCTGGGATACTTCACCCGGCTTTGAACACAAAAAGGTTTCATGTCCAGTTTGCACTTGCCTAGGTGATTTTTCACTCTAGTTCACCCCCGGCTTTGGCACCAAACCAACCGCACTTGCGTTTTCCCGTCTGCCCGAACAGTCTGCGATACCGGTCGATCGCCCCTGTCGGTCTGTGGCATCAGTGGGAAGCCAAGACTCCGTGCTTCTCCGTGCGGCCTCAGGGAATACATGCGACACGACCTGTCTGGGACTGCCAGGCCATATATGCCCTGGCACCACCAGTGTCTGGGATGGCTTCTCCTATGACAGTGCCTCACTTCTTCTGGCGCCCACTCAGGCCTTGCACCGGCACCAGCGAGTCCCAGTTCGCGGTCGCCCACCTCGGCGCGCTCGGCGAAGACGGAGAAGTCCGTCGCCGCTGGGAGAAGACGGAGAGGTCGGAGAGTGGTGGGAAGAAGAGCAGGGTGCTTTTCTGGGAGACTACGAAGAATTGCAGATATATGACATGCTTATTTTTATATATTTTTAATCATGGTATATATCGATATGTGGTAGAGTTCTGGTTCTGTTTCGTTACTGCTTTCTTTGATCAGACAATATCTACTAGATCGGGATGTGGCCAGCAGCGTTTTTTGGGCCCAAAGTCGAAGGACACACACTACACAAACTTAATTAGTAACCGACCTGGCTCCATTTTCCCAACTCGAAGGATGGTACATTAAGGTATGAATGGGAGAAGCATGTGGCCTTGCCTGTGGACTACAGGCCAGCTGCTTATTAGCAGCGAACTCATAGAACGAGTGTGATCGCCATCCATCGCCAGATCACACAATTGCACCACTTGGCACTCAAAAAAGACGGTGGTTTGATGGTTTTGGTGTGTTCCCGTCGATGCTTCTTCTTCGAGATTTCTGCGTTTGTCCCAGATGTTCGGTCGTGTTGGGTGTTGTCCGTCGCCTGGGGCGATCGCGCTGGCGATCGACACCGGCGTATTCCGACAGCCGTGGTGGGTGGGGACGAATCATACGGCGCCAGAGGACGCGCGCAAACTGGTCTGGCGCGCGTTGAGGCAGCAGAATCCAATCCGACCACCCGGGTGAGTGTCGGACTCTGAAGGGATCCGGCCCAAGTTTTGCCCAGACATGCCCGGAATCGGTGTCCGGGGGGGCATGTATCCATGCGGACGACCTGGGAAGAAGGCTTGGTAAGACCTACCCAATGCTGGGAGAAGCAAGGGAGAAGCTTCTGGGAGTCTCTTCTGGAAGACCTGGGGCATGGAAGAACCAATCCTTTGCAAAAAGGAAGACCTGGGAGTCCTGGGAGAATCCAATGCTTAGAAGCAGAGAACGACCGGCGCCCCCCCGGCCAGCGGCCAGCGGCCGAGGCGTGTTCACCGACGGGGAAGGAGGTGAAGGACGGTTCCGTTCGCGGAGCTAGCAGGAAACGCCGGTGGAGAAGGTATAATATGGTGTATGACGTGCTATTTCATGTTGTTTGGCTTGAGAAGTACTTATACAAGCTGTTCCAAGGGGTTTCAGGGTGAGACTATGGATGATTTTGGATTGGTGGGACTTCCAGCTAAGCAAGGTTGCTTTTCTTTGTGTTGCCATCTTTCCTCTCACGGGATCGACGAAAGCTACGGACACAGACAGTTGCAGTAACGAAGTCTACTCTACCACTCAAATATCAGCTGACCTATTCTCAGGACCTTCCATTTGAGGTGTCTAATGGACTATAGCCTCGTAAAGAGGTGATTCGGGGTGTCCAAAAACGGCCATGGAAGGTCCTGGTCCATGGCCATTCTACAGTGAACACACCTGGGGGCGAGGTTTTTGGACGCGCGATCGATCCGTGGTCACTGGAGTTTCGCGTCGCCGGTTTGGGCACTGGATTTGGTAGCTCTTTGGAGCGTGAAGGATGGTCTTGAGGATGTGGATTTGCATCTTCACCAATCAAATCGATTGGATCGAGGTTTTGCAATGCACAAAGTACGTTGGATCTCCTGAGAAACAACTTGTTTGGATTCTACCAGGTCACAGTTCTGTGACCAAGATAGCTGACTTCATGGAACATTTGCTAGAGGGATCTGGTGATTTGAGTTGGTCCCCATCGAGGATGGGAAGTCTAAGGACATCTAAGGACCCATGCTAATTTTGGCTCTTTGAACTGTAAAGAAAAGGGGCAATCTGTGGATCGAGGCGTAGGATGTTCTTCAATAGTGGGGCTCAGCTTGATCCTTCATGAACTTCATCACATTTCGTCACTGTATACATAGGATTACATGGGTATAGTTAAACACAAGGCCTATCGGTTCATTGAGAGCCTCTTATGTGGTTCGCGGTACACAACAGTTTGTTTTTTTTGAGTTTGTGAGTAAACATTTTTGCTGCGAAAGATCTGCGGAAGGTATAGCCACAACCAAACCAATTAGACTTCTAGCATATACCCCGACGAGAGTTGAACATGGAGTTCGTCAAGAATTCGTGAAAGTAAGTTCGTTTCTTTTTTGAAGAATGGTGTTTCCCTAAGAAGGGCCACACATATATACTGTATAATATATATATATATATGTAGATGGCCACAGCTAGCCGTGCTGCGCAGGAGTTTGAGACGACACCCACGAACAGTGCCAAAGCAAGGTCAAGGGCTTCGGGTGCATCTGCCAACACGGAAGGATCCGGCGTTGACGCGGCCACACCTACAAGCAATGCCAAGACCGACAAATCGGGCGCAGGTACAGAGAAATCTGGTGGAACTGGTTTGTCTCCTGCAAGCAAGGCTCAGACTGAACAATCAGAGTATGCCTCGGATTTCGAGCAGCGGGAGCAAACCTCACCAGCAAGCAATGCCAAGACAGAGAAATCAGGAGCCGTCACTGAGAAATCC